TAAATTTAACTAATGGTCAAGTCGGTCAGAAGAAGAGTCACATCATGTCATAATTTTTTTTTGCACATAGGTCTCCATTAGCACCACTCTTTGCTAAATGAGTAACTGATGGTTAATTTTATAAACTTTTAAATTTAAGAGTTAAAAACGTAATTTAAAAAATATTGGGTTATTCTTGTAAGAAACCCTGGAAGTTGGAGTGTTACATATTCCCACAGATGGGTATGTCATGTTGTCCCCTTTCAGCCAAAAAAGACACCCCTACCCCTTATTTTTAATAAACACGTCTCTTTCCACAAACACGCCTCCTCTTCCAGACTTGTTCATAACCCTAGCCATTGTGTATCATGAGACACCCTGGCATCGTTGTCCTGATCAGTGACCATCTCCCTGGTTTGTTCCTTCGTTTGATCTCTTTGATTCCAAGTTCGAAGTTTGCATATACCAACAGAGGGTCGGGTTTTCTTTTCTCCAAGTTTGAAGCTTCCAGATTTCGTTTTCTCCAATCAAGGGTTAAGATTTTGTTTTCTCCAAGTTTGATGTTTGCTTATTTCTTCTCTGTTTATTGAGAATATATTGACCTAACTATGCGATGGATACATTTGATTTTTAATTAAGGTATCTCTGTAATATGTTTCGACTTCTCTTCTCTTCAATTTTTCTTTCATTTATCTCTTCTCTTTTTTCCAATTTCTCCTCCATTGGGGCTTCTATGTTTCGATTTCTCTTCCATTGATGTTGAAGTTTATCTTCGGATGATGATAAATGCACACCAAGTATTTGATGAATTGATGTCATATGTAAAATTCAACTAAACAAGGTATAATTCATACTCAAGGGTAAAATAGTCATATCATTCCCACCGTTGATTTAGAAAAATAAAATAAACAATAACACAATTTTATCCAGACAGACAAATTTATCCATTCAGGATTTGATAAAAAAAATAGGTAAACAACCTCTACCTCTTACTGGTGGAAAAATATTAAAGTAATAATTTCTCTCTCGATTTAAAGATTTCTCTAAATTTAGATATTTTTACAATCCCTGTCTTTTTCTCTATTTTAGCATACAATATGACATAATTATTGAAACAAAAAATTATTAAAATCCATATTTTCTTTACTTTAACATAATTGTTCGAGATTCTCTAAACCCTCTTGTAGATTAATAAGTTAGACCGATAGGCCGTATTCAAATATAAATTATAAAAAAATTAAAAAAAATCATTTATTAAACTGAGCATACTAAAAGATGATATTTACATCTAAAGCTCAATAAATATGAATATGATAGAAACCATCAAGTTATGGATGATCGATCAATTTACTGGGTCCAGTGATGAATGGGAGCCCATTTTGATCCCCGGCATAAATGTTGCGTCTTTATTTAAATGTAGAGATGTTATATTTATTATCTGTTTTATTTGGATCCAATCTTGTATGAAAATATAAATAATAAATCTTAAAATAAAGAAGAAATTAAAAAATATAAGTTTCTTTAGTAATATATAGAAATGTAAATAAGGGACTGTTTGACAGTTGCTGAATAGTTTGGTGCAAAATGGTTAAAAGACTCTTCGTTCTTGTAATATAGTGCAAAATGAAATATAATTGTTTGGTAATTGTTTTAACAATGAAATTAGGGTGCTGAATGGTTAAGGGAGACTCGTGATACAAAATCATTCAGAGAGTTTTAGAATTATTAAGAGACAAAACTTTTTTTACCAAACAAGATTCATCTTTTAATAATTCAGAATTTGTCTCTTAATAAAACTGTTAATAGATAAACAAACAACTTCTAACTTAACCTTTTATAAATTAATGACAGATAAAAGTTATTATCAATAAGAACAAGTTAAAAATTGGTGATGAAAGTTAGGTAAGAGAATATACCTATTTTTAATATTTAATATTATAATTTTTTTTTTATCATAATGTATAAACCGATTAGAAAACTACTTTATTTTGTATTTATTATTGTAGCATGATCTGGATTATGCAAGAAGAAAAATGTTCAAATAAAAACACCTTCATTTTATAAGAAATACAAGAATATTTTTTTTACTATAGACAATCACATGTGATACTATTATTTTATCACATATGATACACATGTGATACTAAATCAGAGACGCGGACGATTTTCGATGCAATATTGGTTGCGGGTCAAGTCGCCCTTACACCACTAAGCCCCCTCACAGATATAATCACATGTGATAAGGGTGTTGTTGATATGATACTATAATTCATCAAAACTATCACAAGTGATGTTAAATCATAGACGCAAACAACATTTGCCACGACTTAAGTCGTAGAACACGTCGTCCACACATTACAGGGTCCCCTCACGCGTATTATCACATATGATAAGGGTGTTATCGCATTATCGTAAAATGAAATTGTTCTCATTTGAACCTCCACCTATGCAAGAATACCATAATTTTAGAGGATGTTATTTATACATTTCCTCATCCACATACCCTATAAGAGGGAGCTGGAATGAGAAATTTTAGCCACCTCAAGGTTATATTTGACCTTTTATACGGGCTTTATTATATGTTTCGTAGATATTTATTAAAACTAAACTTGTTTTTACTAAACATTAGAAACAAACCAAAAACATATTCATCTAATACAACGTGATATATCTTGATTTTAACGTTGAGAATTTGAATTCTCATATTGGTTAATGTTTTATTATATTACTAGGTTGGACCCGTGTATTACACGGGTTAATGACACAAGGATTCGGAATTCTATTGTTAGACTGGAAAATAACTCTGGAGTTAACTCTGAATAAAAGGAATTCAGAGTTGTCTTCTAAGTCTAGAAAGTATCTACGAGCATAACTCTAAGTCATAAGAATTTTGATTTCTTATAACTCAGAAACGTAACTCTGAAGAGGAGTTTAGAGTTGTATTTTAAGTCTGGGAATAAACTATATAACTAAGTTTGGAACAAAACAATTCAGAGTTATGTTGTAAGTCTGAGAACTAACCAATATCTGATGACTTTATGTTGATGATTTGTATCACTAATGTCATTTAAGTGTAATGTGATTAAATTGTTGACCAATGTAATCATGATAAATATTAAACAGGTAAGGCAGGTGCGGAGTGCACACTTATTTGAGTTTATTTTGATTTAGGGACGAAACCCCTAACAGAGGGTTTGGGGGAAGCGCCCCCGGGTGGCGGGATCCAAGGGGCAGATCCCCTAGCTGGGGTCGAGCTGCCAAGTCAGCTTGGAATTTTTTTCCCGGGTAATATTGGTTTGTGAAAAATGCTTCAAAAATGCGAATTTGAAATTTTAAACCCGGTTTTGATGACCAGTCCAGAGTTAAATTCAAACGTGAATTTTTCCAGAGTTATGTTGTAAGTCTGGGGGCCGTAAATGAAAATTGTGTTTTAGGCGGGAAAAATCAACAACCATCGCACAGAAACGTGACACGTGTCCCCAAAGTTACTTATATATTAGTCTTATAGATATGTTTTAATTTTATTTTATGGTTTTATATAATTTTGTAAAGCATGAAAGTATTTGATTGATTATTGACATTACGGATTATTTTGTTGTATTAATATAGACTAAATTAAGCGTCCAACATTGTATTTCAATTTGTTTTGTCGGTTGATTATGATTAATTTTATAAATTAAAACATGAAACTTGAGAGAGAGAGAGAAAATGTGTGTATGCAATGATAACTTTGTAAAAAAAAATTATAACATATAAAGATATCAACATAAGTATAATCCTAATTAAATTAAACGATCAAGTTTTTGAATTCTTTTAAAAATAAATAATATTTTACATTTATACACAATTTAATTATATCAGAAAGAAGGTAGAATAAATCAATTAAATATATATAAAAAATCATTTAAATTAATCTACCAAATTTGTAATATTTCTTTTATTTTTTTACTTTAAAACCGATTTACCATTAGTAACTTTTTCTAATCTAATTGATTTTCGAGGATTCATGCATTTATATGTCTAAAAAAATCATATACCTAACCACTCAAAATCTTTTAAGTTTGTTGGATTTTTATAAAATTTTCATTTTTTTTTACTTTAAAATTGATTTATCAATATATACAGTTAGAGAAGTAAATAAATGATTTTAGCCCTTAATCAGATCAACATTTACGATTTTGAGTATGAAACACCGGATAATTTCTCGCATTTATATGCATAAAATACAGAGGTAGTTTTATGATTTTTACAAATAGGCGGTAAACGGGTTCATATGTGAACCCGTGTGATTCACATATTAACTATATGTTCATATATGAATCAATCAATTAGTTCATATACACGGGTTCACATATGATCTTGTTTGCTGTCTGTGAAAATTACGAAATCACCCCCTTTATTTTTCACATGGACGTAAATTTTGACCAATCAAAACTACAATTATTGACCATATGAAAGGTTGTGATCACGTTTTTACTTACAAATTACAAATACTTACCACTTCTTAGAATAACCTATACCTATACAGTTACTACTTGCTAGTAACATTTTTGCTTCAAAAGCAATATTTCTAATCAATATTGTTAATTTTAAAGATTTATTTATTTTAGAGAAAAAAAAAGTTCTAAAAACTTAAGATCGAAGAATTCCTTAGGTCTTTATACGACTTTTCCTTTTTAATAAAGTCAAAAAAAGATTAATACAAACCCTATTTACTCACCATCACAATTATTTATCGACATCCATAATTAAATGTGGAACTGTAACACATTTTTGAAAAATGGAAGAGGAGTTCACCCCAAACATGAAACAAGCAAATAACACATGGAAAACCAAAATTGATAATAATAATTAAACAAAAAAAAAGTCAAATAATTCTATTACAAAAATATTATTATTCTTTTTACAGCTGTAAAATATTATTTTGAGAGGTAAAAACGTATTAAAATTTGGTAAAAAAGGAAACGAAGATAATACAAGCACTTAATTTTAACATAAAAATTGTATTTTAAAGTTGAAAATTTATGTTTACATCCCTTCTCATTTTCTATTTTACATTATTTGGTCTTATTTCTCATTGGCCGTTGATTATTTGACGTTGTGGTAGCCTGAACCGGAGCTGCGACGCCGGAGACTTCACGGCGACACCATGCCAACAGATACCACCACGACACATCTCATGCTCCACCTCATCACCACCACGTGTCACCACGCCATACGTCGCAGCCTTACGAGATACATCCCACGTCAGGGTGCCCAGCAACAAAACCCCAACTGCCGCCGTCGATAGAATCAGCACCGATGTTCCGCCGTAGCTCCGCCCACTCACCTGTGCGTACCCCTTGATCGCCGCTATCACCGCCAAGTACAGCATCATCAAATTCCGAACCACCAAATCGGAAACCGCCATCACAATCAAAGAAATTGAAAGAGAGAAATCGATTTCGAGATTTGAATGTGAAGAAGAATCTTTAAATTGGAAATTGAGGGTGAAAAAAATCTGGAAGGTATTAAATGTGGAATGTTGGGTGGGTTGGGTTTTTCAGTCCCTTCACGCTTATCTACCACCATTTCTGGTTCAATTCGCTTCCAAAAGTAGAAGTTGTCAATTTCAAGATGAGGTATAAGATGTTTTGCATACTGTACAAGTGTCTGTTGCATGGATGTTTGAATTTGGAAACACTTTCCCTGGACAACGATTTTAATGTTTTGTAGATTATTAACAACTTTCACTTTGTACCACGTATTTTTTCTTATTGACAATTTTGATCCCTCAAGTAACTTTTAATTGGTTTTTTGGTGATTTTTTTTTAGTTGATTTCGAGGCAGTTCTCTCGGTTTTTTGTTGATGTTTCTTAAATTTTCTAATATCACGTTCTTATAGCAAACTTCAGACTTTAGCAAGTACATATTTCGTATATCAAATTATATTTACGAAAATTAGTTGAACGAGGGCATGAACCTGACTCGAGGCTTAATAGGTTCGCCTCTTCATGAATCATGACTATATATAGCTTGTACTTTCCCTTTGTTGGCATTGGTGATGGGTTCTTCTAAGATAAACATCACTATTGAACTAATAGGCTTCGTAGCTTTATGTTTCTACCTGTGAAACAACTGTAAACGTATCATGTAGAATAAAAATCACAATTATCAACGTGCCTTTTCATACTGAAACGTGTATTGAGAGTTATTTGTAGAACACAATGAAGAACACCAACTATGATGATCTCACACGATACAAATGATCTCATGTCGTTATACTTGTCCTAACTAAACCTGGGTTATCATTAATTTATGACCTCAATTGATATCTTAGCCTGTATTCCATATCATGTTTTATAAATCGCATGAGACTCACATGATGGTGTAACGATTCGTAAATTGACTTGAATAAATACCTACATGTATCATCCGTCTTTTGCTTTACAATTGATGTTACATATTTGTCGAGACATTCTTATATTTTTGATGAAAATCATAATAACTATAATAAATTTGTTTTTATAAGTTTTTAATGTTTAACGATTGTGATTATTTGTAGTGAATTATAAAAGTTTTGGGTGATGGAACAGTAGATATGTGTCCAATTTTAGAACATTAAAGAGTAAGGGAGTTAATATAAAATTATTGTAGCATGTGTGAATAGGAGTGACAACACGATAGATATGTGAGATTTAGTCCCTCGTATTTCTTCTTGCCTTCAAATTCAATTCATGTTGTCCTTGTGTTTTATTTCCTATTTCTTCTCTTTTTTCGGTTCTTGCTTACTCGCCTCATATTTATCTCAAAACGACCTAGTTTTAGTTTAATGACTTTCTAACGTGTATCTCTATATAATTTACAATTGTAAATACCATGATATTTTTAAACTAATCAAATAGGAAAATATCGAAAAAAAACCCAAGAAAATGCATGTAGTTCTTCATTCTATTATTAGAAAATTACTATACATGTAATATAATATATGTGTTTTATATTAATCAAGGGACTGTTTGGCAGTTACTGAATGGTTAAGTAGTCAGAGTAATTAAGAGACTCTCATGATATAGTGCAAAATGAAATATAATTGTTTAGTAATTGTTTACAATGAAATTAGGGTACTGAATGATTAAGGGATACTATGATATAACATCATTCAGAGGGTTTTGTAACCATTAAGAGACATTTTTTTTTTTTGACAAACAATATTCATCTCTTAACGATTCAGATACTCCCTCTTAATAAAATTATTAATAGGTAAACAAATAACTCCAAAGTACTTAAATTATTTAAAAAAACGATATATTAAGTAAGTAAAATAGTAGCTCAATAGCTTTAAAACCAACATAACGATAGAAATTATTAATACCTCACAACTAATTTAAGATTTCTCATTCTATATAGACGTGAAATGCATTGTCACAGTCAAAAAACTCGTTAACTTCTGTCAAACTCATTGATATTTTAATTGTTAAGGGACGCATTAGATAAATCCAAATGGTGATCTTTTCAAAAAAAATTAACATTGCTCTTTTTAAGAGAACTTAAAATAAAAATCCAAATGGTGGTGCATGATTGGTTTAAGTTTGACTCCAAATGTCAAAAGTACCAGGAGGTCACACGTTCAAATCTAAGGAGAAATAAAAATACTCTTGTGACCACGGAGGTTCAATTGCGGTGACTCTGAGCTATCTGCAAAGCAGGTGGTTGTCCTGCGATTAGTCGGCTCACATAACGAGTTGGATATCCAGGTTAATAAAAAAAATTATATTTTTAAAACAAATTAGATGTTTATTTAAGACAAACATTATATTTTTAAATCAAATGAGTTGGGTTCCCATAAAAAGAATAGTTAAGTTAAGATAAAAAAACGTAAAAAAATATCTTCACCCTTTTATACACATTAATATAAGATGCGGTTCAATCACGTATCTACAAATGTTATATTTTTAAACCAAATAAGTTGGATTCCGAAAAGAAAAAAACAGTTAAGTTAAGATAAAAACGTAAGAATTTTTTTTTTCACTCTTTTATACACATTAGTATATGCGGTTCCATCCCGTATTTAACGCGACTCTTGAAACAAAATACTTTCAACATAAAAGTTGTAAAAAGAACTTATATATCGCCCACCGTGGGGCTCGAACCCACGACCACAAGGTTAAGAGCCTTGCGCTCTACCAACTGAGCTAGACGGGCTTGTTGTTTCTACTCAAACTAGCTCGTTAATATTATGATTGTCAAGCGACCCAAATTTCGTGGGTTCAGGTGTTATTCAGTATTAAAATTTAGTTCGTATTATAAAAATAGATTACTCTAATGAATACAAAATAACACCTGAACGCACAAACTTTGGGTCGGTTCACAATCATAATTGTTTCTAAATATTAAAAGAGTTCTTTGAATTGAAACAAGAAGCCCGTCTAGCTCAGTTGGTAGAGCGCAAGGCTCTTAACCTTGTGGTCGTGGGTTCGAGCCCCACGGTGGGCGATCATTTTTTCCTTTTTATTTGATATTGATGTAATTTGCTGTTGTATTTCTCCTATAGTAGGATTTGTTATAAAAGACTATTTAAAATTCGATTTTTTAAGTAATTCAAAAAAAATAAAAATTAATACACTTGAAAATTGTTATTGGTCAATTAAATACACTTAAAAAACACGTTTTTTTCAAGAATTATGAGCGTTTATGAGTTGGTATCTTCCCCCATATAGCATATGACTCATATATATTGAATAGAGATTAAATGGGACACTTAAAAACACGTTTTATTATAATTTTGTAATTGGTTTTCAATCAAAATACACTTAAAAAGTTATAAATACAATAAAAATACATTTTTTTTTGAAGAAATCGGGGTGGTTAGCCTTGTTTTTTGACGAAAACCGTAACCGACGGTACCAAACCCGTCTCAGACCACGAATTGGGCTTGGTATATGGTTTGGGGCTTTGGGCTCACAGATCCAATGGGCTTACTTATTTGAGATAAAACTTATACATATATAGTTGATGTAGAATGTAGATTATAGAATCATCCAAAAAGTTATAGTTTTCCTTGTTCTTCATTTTCGTTGACTATGGGTGTATGATTTGATTTGTCAGATTCAAACTTTTATATAAATACTTGAATAGGTAGACGATCAATTCAGTTCGTGAGAGGACTTATTTATGTTAAGACACTGGAGATTGCATGCCTTAATCCGATCTCATTGAACATTGGAAGTTACTAAATTTGTTAAGTTATGGGCCATTTATCGAACGTTTACCCGGGTAAGCGCTTACCAAGTCACATTACCCTACCGGATGAATATGGTAAGGATCAAGAATCTTATCCTATAAAAACGAGACAATGACCAACAGTCTTACCCGGTAAATGAGGGCGACGACTCTTACCACCGTAAGCGCTTACCGGGTAAATTGTTGCATACGATGTCGTTTTGGTGGACTAAAATCTTATCAGGTAAATAAATAATATTTTTAAATTTCACGCGTAAACACTTACCGGGTATGTGTTTGGTAAACGACTCCTTACTAACCTGCTTAATCGATTTTGTTGTTCTTGGATAAACATATTGTTATCACGAAATATGGATACACACTAGTTGTGAACTTGCTTAATGCATCTGAATTATGAAGCTGAACACTTAAGCCTTTAATGTTGCTTTGCTTTTTACATCGTTCCTTTGGGATTTTATTTTTATGATATTGCGTGGTTTTGAATTGTAAAAACGGACTAATATATAGCTTTAAGGTTAATATAATCGGTTAGGAGAGACGTTGGTTATTGTTTTTGTAGTGTATTATGTGGTATTAGTAGGGATCAATATTTGTCATGCATTTGAATTTGAACGTGTTTATCAATTAGTTAACAGTTAGTTTTATAAAGTATAGACATGGAGTTTTTAGAAGTTGTGCATGTTTTAGTAAGTTGTATACTTGTATTTAAAGAGATTTTAACAATACAATTTATATTATATCTAATATGGTAAATATAATAACCTATTTTTTAAATAGCGTGAGACGTGAGGCGATGGTGATGTCAAGCCTTGTGCCTCATAAGCCATGGCGAGACCATGACATTGTTCAAGGTGTAACTTATGCCAGCAAATTTTTATGTCATGTATGAGTTGTAAATCATGCACGTATATTTTATACTGTTATTCAATGAATAAATTGTATTGCTAAAAACTAAAAAGTATAATATTGGAAGGTAAAAAAGATCAAATAACACCTTATCGAAACTCTACATATTAATGTGGCGTCATAGATAAACCTTAAGCCACGACGTATCATGACGGATGCCATCAAAAATTATTTTAAACACTGTATTAAAGTATAGTTGAATTTGTTGTTTGTTTTCCTGCAAATTTATAGACCATTAACACAAGTTCTATCACTATCAATTTTTGTGAGAGTGAGGTTGTTAAGAACCCTCTAGCTCGAGAATAGGGGCATAGTAGGCGTGGGAATGGGGTCGGGATGGGGCGGGGACCTCAATCCCCATTCCTCATCCCGACCCCATTCCCCATTCCCGATTACTTATCTTTATCTCTGTCCCCTTCTCCATCCCCACCGGGGAATATAATCACATCCTCATCCCCATCCCCAACGGGGAAACGATGTTTTTTTGTCCGTTTATGTAAGTTATTTTAAATTAAATATATGAGAAACCATACATGTTTATATCCAAAACGTTTTCAATAAACCTAAAACCAAAATGTATTTATTCTAATACAAAAAAACCTAAACATCATATAAGAACTAATAATCTAAAAAAAATACAATTTAATCCAAAAAAACCTTAAAGTCACATGTACCAAAAGATATTGAGTAATATAAAATCATATCGAGTAATATATAAAACTTATCAAGTAATTGTATTTTGACTTGACATCCAAAATATTACATATTAACATTCAAAAAATAACAATTTTAGATTATAAAACTAGTTAGAAAATAGGAAATTATAAATTACCTCTTTAGTTGAGATAATATATATATATATATATATATATATATACACATATATATATAATTTATTAATTAATATATACTAGTTGTGTACCCGCGCAATGCGGCAGGAGCCATAAATTTTAACGATTTTGAAGTTCCGTTGATTTTATAAGATAAGATTTAACGATGATATATGTTACACTTGGTCTTGACATATTAATATAATTTAAATAAATAAGAGTTACGATTCTAATTACAGACTATCGATGAAAAAAATTGTATGACAGTTTAAAATTCAATATATTTAAAATBCAACATATTTAAACGACTCCACAAATGTGTTCGATTTACACTAAGAGCAAAGAACCAAGAAACTTGAGTTTTAAGATAAACACTAAAAACCAATAAAGAAAACTACAAATTTGACAGATCATAAGCCATGAAAAGACAAAAAAAAGTTGGGTTTTATAATGAAATTTCAATTGCTTACCCTATTTCTTGTCAAGAAACTCAGATTAAGGTTGAATTAATATATGTATATATATATATATATATATATATATATATATATATATATATTTCAAAAAAACCAAGAACATATTAATTCAAAACATATTATACATTGCAATTTGGACAGTCTAACCCCAAAATATATAGTATATATAAATAAATAACTATAAAAGTATAAATCGTAAATATTAAAAATATTTTTTCACAGTATATATAATATATAATAATATAATTAAGTCAAAAACTATTCAATATTGGACTCATTTCGAAGGTATTAACGAGACGATTATAATGGTGTAACTTGTTNCTCATTTCGAAGGTATTAACGAGACGATTATAATGGTGTAACTTGTTAAAATAAAAATGTATTTTTTAAACATGTTTTAATTGATATACGATTATGTATGTTAATTTGATAAAGGTTTAAAATGAAACATTTAAAAGTAAATGACGTAAAATAAATAAATTAATTAATTATAGGGGTATAAAGTGTAAATTTAAAATTATAATTATAAAAAAATTGGTTGTGAGAGGGTGAGTTAATGGGGTGAGTGTATATGAGGAGAGGAAAGGGTGAAAAAGTGACTTAATGGTAGTATAAAGGGTATTTTGGTTCTTTAATATTTTAAGACTTTTGTTAAATTTGATTAATAAGATAGTATAGATAATGCGTACGGGGCGGGGAGTACCATACCCGTCTTCATCCCCATCCTCATCCCCAGTTTGAGACAAATGGGGATCCCCGTCCCCATCCCCGATTTAGCGGGGAATCACTATCCCCGACCGAGGCGGGTGGACCGTGTTCCCCGACGGTCGGGGTTCAACCCCATGCATAGGGCACAGGCACGAACACCTACTTAATTTATGAGGGTGGAATTTTTTTTAACGTTTCTTTCAATTATGATCGATAAAAGAGTAAGATTTTATTCATGATATATCAAGTAAAAAACAAATAAAATAAACGTTTCTTAACTTGAAATAGGCATGGATCATCATAGGCAATCTGATGTAGACTTTTGGAGTGGTGCATCGATCATTGACCAATATAATGTAATTTTTAAGTGACGAGCTTAGCTAAGATTTTGGAGATCCCAAGGTATATATCTAGTGTGGTTAAACTTGATGGCTCCACAAACAATAGACTTTGAGTAGTTGAGTTTGTTAACTCATTAAACTGTAAACCTAGAGTGATTGATCTTAATGAATATTATTTTGTAAGTGATTCTTATATAACATGGATATGTGGCTTATTTTTGTGTTATGTCACTATCAGTAGTAAATTGACGAAGATGTACGGTGCCCTTCTAAGGACGAGATTGGTTTAAATGAACGAATATACTTGTTAAATCTATGTTCTCGATTTTTGATGTCTTATGGTTTATTTTATAATTGTTTGAACTCACTAAACGTTAAACCTAACACTTTTATGAAATAACATGTACATCAAGATCTCAAGATAGCAGAGCCACTAATGTTTGAGTGGAGCGATGTTTGCCGGTAAAGGCACTTTTGAGACATCATCTTTCCAATTTTAAATCTAGAACTGATTTAGATTAGTAGGTTGTTATCTATCATTCATTTATTGATGTAAACTCTTTTACAATTCTCCATTGTTGGGTATTTTATTTAATTAAATATTTATTTCGTCTTATTCTATGGTTTATATTGTGTCATATTTTAGGGGTGTTATATGAAGAAACCACAAATATCGGGTGAATATTGTTATCAAAATTGATATCAAATTAAGATGATAAAATGATTGTTTTTTTTATATCAAAATTAAAGATAACAGATCGATTTTCCATTCAAAAACTCGGGGAAAATATGTTAATTTTTAATAAAAGATGGTTATAGGGGGTTGCTATTCACACTCTCTCTCCACTTATATACCACCTATTTCTTACCCCAACCTAACTCAATTACCCCCTTGTATGAGAGGATATGAATAGAATTCACCTGATTATAACCATTTTTCTAACCACATTTATTAGATTATCTCAATCTAACGATTTAGATTAATTATTTATTTATTTTTAGGTCATACAACACAAAGACCACAACCATACCGAGACTATAACCATTCCTTGTTGGACACCATCTTCAGTTTCCCTTGCAACCTCCAAGTGTGAAATTAGGTGATCCATCTATCCAGGGCCAACCTTGGCTATAGTCCCAAGGGGCGACAACTCAGGGCAACAAATAGCCATAGGGCTCATTTCTTGAAACCCCTTTAAACATAGTTAGGTTCATTTTGGCCTAATCATTGTGTGTACAACCCAAGGGACTAAGGGCATATGGCATCGGCATCTCTCTCGCTCTCGTCATCTTAGGTGATGTATTTTATACTTTGTTACACGGGGTTTTGGTTAATGCCCCCCCTCCCCTCATTGCATCATTTTTGTTATATTTAATAAAAATCGGAATGAGAATGAGCCGCCTAGATTGACTAGGTTCCAAACGTCTTCAAATAGTTTATTATTTTTCTATACACATGTTAACTGTTAAGGGATTTTTTTTTACCTTTTGCCATAGGCATCCGAAATCTCAGTACTGGCTCTGCATCTACTTTTAGGTCATCAAAGATCCTTACTTGAATTAATAAGGAGTTGTGATTATTGGGACATGTATAGAATGACGAAAGAGTACAAACAAAGATGATGTTTGCATAGAGCTGTTATAATCCCTCAATGGACGTGGGACAGATGGATTGTCAAAAGCTCTTGATGGTCGAAAATGGATGCCAATGATGGCCGCCAGCAAGGGATGGTTGTGGACTTGTAATTTTTTGCTCTACATATAATTAATATAATATACTTTTATATAAAAAAAAATTCATACGATTAGTCACACATAATACCCAACTTATATGTCATGCAATTCATCATCAAATTTTTTAATTAATATCAAGAGTTATGTTTTATATTTTTAATATATGGTTTAACCTGAAATAATATAAGAAAAAGAAAAGGAAATTCTATTTGAAAATGGATGGATTCAGAAGATTGGGCGTTGGGTGTTTCCGCGTGTTACAAAAGACCCTCCCGTTCTAAACCCAATCACAAGTCGTTCAAGTCTTCTCCTGGATGGAGACTTCCAGAAAGAATGCCCCTTTCTCTCCACGTCGTATGAGGCAGCTTCCACCAATCAAACACTGCCACCTAATGCTAGCCTACAAAATCAGCCGTTAGATCTTCCACCGTGGCATCACCAACCCTCATCACGCCCTTCATTCTTCGTGGCTCCCCCCCTTCTCTCTCTCTCTCTCTCTCACACACACTCCCTTACTCTTCACTCATTCCACAGTATATAAGATTGCCGAACCAATCGAAGAGCATTTCAAAACCAAATCTCACATTAAACCCACCCAAAGGACTCAGCATAGATCGAGAGAGATCGCAATGAGGAAGTGGACTCTTCCTTCCATCTTGTTTCTGCTATGTCTCCTGTTTCTTCTTCCAGATCAAGGTATGTTTTACTTTACCATTTAATTATGAATGCATCTCTAGATTCACCTAGTTTGTTTGTGGGAGAATATGAGGAACTCATTTGATTTTGTGTTCGTCCGATTTCGACGTCTTTATGAGAAAGTAGAAGCTTTTTAGTTACAAGTGTATTGTGAAAGTAGTCAAGTTTTTTTCCTTCTGTAAATTCTAATTCAAATTATTGATCTATGTTAGGCGTATATTTGTTTGTAAATCGACATATTGCGTTTATCTGTTTCTAAATTGCAAGCGTTTATGCGGATCACAGCGTTTTGTGATGTTTGAACTATCTACTGAATTTTAAAAGGGCTTAATGGCGTATGTTGTAGCTTAAGGGATATTTCTCTCTTAGATTGATGCTTAGAATGCCTACTTTAAAGAATAAAGAACTATGAATATCTAATATAATGAGGGTTTACCATAGTTATCTGAGGGATAGTACTATTTATGGAAGCTATTTCACAGCTAAGTTTCGAATTAAATTAAAGAAAAAACGAAATTTAGCTAAAAAGATATCAAGTAAGCTATAGAAAGCCCATTCGTTTGCTGTCCTTTTTGAGAGAGTTTTGAGGATATGAAGGAGCTAAAGATGATCAGTTTGCTCTCCTGAATGTGGTTTAATAACGTTCTTGTCTGTGATTTGTAGGTCGAAAGTTACATGCGAATGCAGAGGCCGATTCTGATGAATTGGTAGATCCACCCAAGATTGAAGATAAGCTTGGTGCTGTTCCACATGGTCTATCCACTGATTCCGATGTTGCCAAGAGGTTTGCTAAACCTTTCTCTGCATGACATCTGACATACCTAAATTCATTTATGTAGTGTTTGAAAGCATGATATCTGACCATTGAGGCATTGACTGTAAAAGACAACTGAAATTGAATTTAGCTAGGGATTGATGCTCTTGAATATAGAATCCAACTTTCATTTTATATAAAGAACACATGTCTTTACTATTAATTATTTTAAGGGCTCTCATTTTTATGGTTCAGGGAAGCTGAGTCAATGTCCAGGAAAAGCCTCCGTAGTAATGCGGAGAAGTTTGAGTTTCAGGCTGAAGTATCTCGCCTTATGGACATCATTATCAACTCTCTTTACAGCAACAAGGACATTTTCTTGAGAGAACTAATCTCCAATGCATCTGATGTAAGTTACTATCCTTGGGTTCCTATTTTCTGGAGCCTGATTTGGAACACATATAACTATATAAGTGTTACTTTAAATTCTTATTTTTGCTTCTTTACAATTTCAGGCCCTGGACAAAATTAGATTCCTTTCTCTCACTGATAAGGAGGTACTAGGTGAAGGTGATGATACCAAGCTTGAGATCCAGGTCTGTCTGTCCTACATTTATTCTTTGTTTTTGCTTCATTTTATGCTTTCTCTTAAAGTTCTGAAATCTAACAAACTTTGCAATCTGGTACTGTAATGACTTGCAGATTAAGTTGGACAAAGAAAACAAAATTCTTTCCATTCGTGATAGAGGTGTAGGTATGACAAAGGAGGATCTGATTAAGAACTTGGGAACAATTGCCAAGTCTGGAACTTCAGGTATTGTGTTTGAGCAGAGTCTGGGAGTTGGCTGAAGAGCATTACTTTTTGTTGGATAAATTATTTAACCATGGTTTTTGTTGTTTGTTCTTGTATATAGCTTTTGTGGAGAAAATGCAGACAAGTGGTGATCTTAACCTTATTGGTCAATTTGGTGTTGGATTTTATTCTGTATATCTTGTTGCCGATTATGTGGAAGTGATCAGCAAACACAACGAAGACAAACAGTATGGCTTTTGGGTTTTGTGCTATTATAAGTGCATTGCAGGAATCTATTTTAGCTTTACTAAATACTAATTAGCTTGAATGAACTTGTTAACTTTTTAGGTATGTGTGGGAGTCGAAGGCTGATGGGGCATTTGCTATTTCTGAAGATACATATAATGAGCCACTAGGTCGTGGAACTGAAATAAGATTGCACCTTAGGGAAGAAGCCGGTGAATACCTGGAGGAGTCAAAACTGAAGGTAATTTGATGATATGCGTATTGTGGAAGTACTTCATTTCTTTTACCTTATTGGTTTTGGTTAGCATCCCGTAGTTTTGAAAAACTATCAAATACTCTAGAACTCAAGTGGATTAGTACACACGGTTCTCATAGTGCACATTGTTGATTAAGACAAGTATGATAAGATTTCTAAGACTTGGCCTTCTTGGAAACTATTAAGAAACTTCTTACTATATGTCATGAATGTTTGCTTTGATATAAATTGAAAAACAGATAATTACCGGTACACTATTTGGTTGTTTTATCACCATGAGGATCTGGGACAGTGCTTAATGTTGATGCTTATAGCCTGATGACTAGAGTCACGTCAGTAATAGGAGGCTAAACACTACTGAACTAGTTTGGCCTACCAGGAAGCTAACTCAACAGTGGATTGCTATCTAGTTACATGACCATGGTTTTAGATAGATCAATGGTGGTAAACCCTAGTTACAGGACCATGGTTTTAGATAGATCAATGGTGGTAAACCACTGAAATGAGAGAACATTTATGTGAATTTTGGCTCTTACTGGCACTGAGAGATCTGTAGTTGCAAATTGTTTTCAAGTCCTTCTTGTGAGACATGTCTATTAATGCTGGGCATGTTTAATATACTAGTAGTGTTGTTGATGGTCCTCTTGTCCTGGTATATGAATAATGAAAAAAAGTTTACTTTTCTGTTATACAATATATATCTTGCTTTGGCGCTGTGCTTTCTGTTGTAAATAGTTACATCCTTCCATAGTTGTTGAAGTAATATCAATGAACTCAATTTCTTGTCTTAACAAATTTACTAAGTGGTGCCTTTCAATGTATATTTTTTTACAGGATTTGGTGAAGAAGTATTCTGAATTTATCAACTTCCCCATATATCTCTGGGCCAGCAAAGAAGTTGATGTTGAGGTGCCTGCAGATGAAGATGAATCCAGCGATGATGAAGAAAAACGTATGTGGGAAAGTCTTGTTGAATTTCTGATGTCTGTTTGGTTATATAGCATTCATAACTTCATCTTATCTAATCAATGGCTTGAATGATTTGAGCAGCCGAATCCACAGAGGAGGAGAAGGAAGATGAAGATACCGACAAAGAGGAAGATGAACAAAAACCAAAGACCAAAACTATCAAGGAAACAACTTATGAATGGGAGCGTTTGAACGATGTTAAAGCTATATGGTTGAGGAGTCCAAGGGAGGTGACTGAGGAAGAATACACAAAATTCTATCACTCTCTTGCCAAGGTGAATCCTTGAATCTTGTACTTGAATGTCAATTTCTCTTTGCTGTTTGTTCTAACTGTAGCTGTTCTTTCTATGTGACAGGATTTCGGTGATGAGAAGCCAATGGCATGGAGTCACTTTAACGCTGAAGGTGATGTCGAGTTCAAGGCTGTTATGTTTGTGCCTCCCAAGGCTCCTCATGATCTATATGAGAGTTACTACAATGCCAACAAATCTAACCTCAAACTGTATGTTAGAAGAGTCTTCATTTCAGACGAATTTGATGAGCTATTGCCAAAGTATCTAATGTTCTTGCTGGTAATGTGTTTAGCCATAAAAAAGCAATACATCAGAATTTGTCTTTAGATACGGTTGCTAACAGCTCTTGTTTCATCAGGGTCTTGTTGATTCTGACACATTACCACTTAATGTATCTCGAGAAATGCTTCAACAACACAGCAGCTTGAAAACAATAAAGAAGAAACTTATCCGAAAGGCCCTGGACATGATCCGCAAACTTGCTGAGGAGGACCCTGATGAATCTCATGACAAAGACAAGAAAGGTACATGAGCTACTACATCTTAGGCATTTGTTACTCTCACTTCCAATTGCAACAGTTCCTATTTTGGGATGCCACATTCGTTGCATTTAGCTTTGCAATTCTAAGCTGAAATTATTAATTTCTCCTCGTCCTCAGACATAAACTACACATTCTTACCATGTTGGTTCAGGCCCGGGAAAATGTTTTTGCAATGGAAGTTTAAAATTTTGACTAGGTCAAGGATTGCAATTTCATGGATTGAGGAAGTACTAATCACACCTATATGAAAATCTTGTGTATTTGCTTCAACTTTAGCAGCTAACAGTTCAAATCTTGTTCCATTTTGCTATATTTCTTGATTTTGATATTTAATTTACCCTATGGTTTCAGAGGTAGAAGAATCAAAGGAGAATGATGAGAAGAGAGGCCAATATACCAAGTTCTGGAATGAATTTGGGAAGTCAATAAAACTTGGTATAATTGAGGATGCAGCAAATAGGAACCGTTTGGCGAAACTTCTTAGATTTGAGACGTAACCTTCTCACTCTATCTACCTGGATTATGCAATTTCTTTTTATATAGATTATTGTAAGAAAGCCTGATTTGTTTTCAATTTTATTAATGCTACAGCACCAAGTCAGATGGCAAACTAACATCACTTGAGCAATACATCTCAAGAATGAAATCTGGACAAAAGGATATCTTCTACATCACAGGCAGCAGCAAGGAACAACTTGAGAAATCCCCATTCCTTGAGAGGCTTAAAAAGAAAAATTTTGAGGTAAAAGTTTCGTCCATCTTAAAATCTAATCCCATTTCATTTCTACAATAGCGAAATTTGAAAGTGTGGTTTGCTTTTTGCAGGTGATTCTTTTCACAGATCCTGTGGATGAGTACCTGATGCAGTACTTGATGGATTTTGAAGATAAGAAATTCCAAAATGTGTCCAAGGAAGGTCTGAAACTAGGCAAGGATTCTAAAGACAAAGAAGTCAAGGAATCATTCAAAGAATTGACCAAGTGGTGGAAGGATACTCTTGCAAGTGAAAACGTTGATGATGTGAAGATCAGCAACCGTTTGGCTGACACCCCTTGTGTAGTTGTGACATCTAAGTATGGATGGAGTGCTAACATGGAAAGGATCATGCAATCTCAAACACTGTCTGATGCCAGCAAACAGGCATACATGCGTGGTAAAAGAGTACTTGAGATCAACGCAAGACATCCAATCATAAAGGAGCTTCGGGAGAGAGTTGTAAAGGATCCTGAGGTAAAATCAAAATTATCCATCCACCTATTATCCCATATAATAAAAATACTTGAACAACGTAAACTTAAATGGTTTTGATTTGATAGGACACAAGTGTAAAGACAACAGCCCAACTTATGTACCAAACGGCATTGATGGAGAGTGGATTTATGTTAAGCGACCCCAAGGACTTTGCGTCACGTATATATGACTCAGTGAAGACAAGTCTAAGCATCAGTCCTGATGCAGCAGTGGAGGAGGAGGATGAAGTGGAAGAGGCAGAGGTGGAGAGCAGCCCAAAGGAGGAGGAGGAGAAGACTGATTCCATAGAAGAAGAGTCTGATGTTAAGGATGAGTTGTAGGTGTTTGTTCCTGTTTGGCATTTAAGTTTGAAGTTAGTTTTGTAGTAACAGAAATTTTGTCTGTTTGGGATTATTAGTTCCGTACTTTCTGCGGGTGTTTAATTAATGCAGGATATGATAGTGTCTTCTGGTGTTTGTTCCTGGTGTTACTAATTTTTATGGGAAAACAAATGTTACTAATTTTCATAAACTTAATCGTTGAAAATATGAAAATTCGTTGAGGTTTGTCGACTAATAAAACCGGTTAATATGGTTATGGTTATGGTTATGGTTATGGTTATGGTTATGGATATTTTCTAATAAATAAATACTTACACTTATAAAAAGTAATTATAAAAAGTAATCAATGTACCATTTCCTTCTTGATGTGTCGTTTATGATCTCAAACTATATAATTCCTACTACATGCAACTGTCCTTAACATTTCTACTCTAAAATGACTTGCATCTAATGTGCCATACTTTATAAGGGACATGCATGATCTTTCTGACATGTAACAAGAAGTTTTCTTTTAATCAGTTTTCATATACTCTACTTGATAGCCATTTGATGTTGCGTAGTTGGTCAAGTATTACTTTAATTGACCAGGATTCTCATACCTTTGTATGGGGGCTAGAGATGGTTGGGGACGATGAAGATGGCACCGAGGGCAACATCAACGGGGGTAAGGGCAACAACAATGGGGGTTGCGATAAGGAGAAACGTAAATATTTAGATTTTTCACAATTTGACCAACATATATGTTTCGGTTTTTTACTTTAAAAGCCATTCTTTTATTAACCTAGATATTCAACCTGTCATGCGAGTCGATTAATCTCAAGGGCGACCACCTATTTTGCCGGTAACTCGGAGTCACAATATTTGAACCTCCGTAGCCACAAGGGGATTTTTATTCCTCATTGTGTTTGAACTTGGGACCTCCAGACACTTATGACATTTGGAGTCTAAGCTCAAACCAATCAAACATCACACTTGTGGTTTTAAAAGCCATTTTTACCACCATAACCCTTTTTTCAATCATTTTAAGGTCTAGAATTTTTCTGTTCAATAAGTATAGGAATTTATTTGTTTTAAAAAGTGTTCAAACAATTGTAAGTTATTTGGTTTAGATAGACTTTTCCCTACTTTGAAAACCATTTTTACCACCATAGCCAATTATCGGACATTTGTAGGGTTAAAACTAAAAAGAGACCACTTTGTTGGATTTCAATAATCGTAAGAATTTATTTGTTAAAAAAATGTTCATTGATTTAATCACTCAAAATATAAAAATTAGTCAGATTTTCCCCAAAATTTTCCCTTTTAATAAAATTCAAAGTGGTATTTATGACGAGAAATGTTCCATTCATTTCAAAAGTAGTGTCAATCACTAACAATACCATACTCGATAGTCCTTTATCTGAGACCACTTTTGAAGGAAAAAAAAGAAGCCAAAATGACCTAAAAAATTTCGTGTTATACATAATGCTGCCTACGAATTTACTATACATTTAAAACCCAAATCTCTCTCTAGCTACCTGTAAGGGGTAATGTTTTGATCTTATGAAGAGTAAAAAAAACCAAATGGGATATAACACTATTCATTTACGATTCTTTTTGTTAAAAAAATTGGTATAAAATTTATACTTAAAAATATTCACTTAGATGTAAAATTCTGTATTTGTTAAATTAGCATTTGCACAACAAATTACACAACTTGTATGCAAAAACCTGAAATTGACAATTAAAGATGCTATTAAAATCTTGTGCTAAAAAATAAACACCACATATAACGTGGTCCCTTTGGTTGTTTTATAATAATTATTAGTTGTCGGTTATGAATATATGATTTTTTGTTACGAGTAAAATAAAGTTATTTTAGAAAATAGATATAATTAACTTTTTTAATTATAAATAATATCGAATTATCTCGGCAAATAAACGTTTCTAAAACAAGTTTATTTCATTCAAAAGTCATTAAAACTTGTTTTTATGAATAGAATTAAAACGTGTATATCTTCTAAAAACTTGTATTTTCTAAATAAATTATAAGGGTATTTACGTAATACAGCGAGATACATCTTGATTTTTATATTTTATTTTATTCTTTATCTCAGTTGATGTTATAATATGGTTTTATGTGATTTTGAAAAAAACGATGATGTTTTTATTTTTTAATAAAACATAAATTTGAAGATATATCATAAAATTTTGACAAAAATATATCAATATGAGTATCAAATTAACGATTTAAAATTCCTCATTATTTGTGTAATTTTTAATTTAATTTTTTTTATTATAATTTAATTTATGTTCAATAACGAAGTAATTTATATTTGGTTTAATAATATAATTTTCTTATAAACATAATAATTAATTATTTGGTTAGAACTCGATAATTATTCTAATTATATTTTAGAATTTTTATATTTTAAAATAAGATGTTTATCCTCTATTTGATTATGTTTATCCGCAGTTAATTACACGAATTCAAACATGAAGCTTTAATAAGTTGTAGTTGTGCATAATTTACTTGTAATCTTGAAATTTTAAGTAATATGCATCAATATACATTACTTCATACATAAAAAATGGTTTTTAAAAGTTTTTTTATCAAATGTTTTATAATATAATATAGGTTACGAGAAAAATCAAGTTTAATATCTTATGTATCTACATATATCTCAATAAATAAAAAGTAACATTAACTCACAAATTTAATCATCAAAGAAGGGTAAAATGGAAATTTACGCTTATGTCATTAACCTCATCATCTTAAAACATGTAATTTTCTTAAAATATCATCACCAACGTTAACTGAGTGATACATTTTTATTAACTAGAAGAGTACTCATGTAATGCATCAAGACACATTTTCATTTCAATGTTTCGTTTTATTTTTTATCCATATTGATATAATACGATTTTATGTGGTTTTAAAAAAACGATAATGTTTCTATTTTTAAATAAAATATAAATTTAAAAATATCATATAAAATTTGCAAAAAATATCAATATTAGTATCAAATTAACTATTTAAAAGTCCTTGTTTGTTTATTTTTTAATTCAAAATTTTCATTATAATTTAATTTAACGTAACGAAGTAACTTAATTTAGGTTTAATAATATATATTTTTTATAAAAATAATAATTAAATATTCTGTTAAACTCAATAATTATTCTAATTATATTTTAGATTTTTTTATATTTTAAAATGAGATATTTATCATATATTTGATTATGTTTATTCACAGTTAGTTAGACGGATTCAAACATAGAGCTTCAATAAGTTGTACTTCTGCACAATTTACTTGTAATCTTGAATTTTAAGTAATATGCATCAATAAACAGTACTTTATGCATAAAAATGGTTTTTAAGAGTATTTATCAAATGTTTTATAATATAATATAAATAAACCGTAGATCTGAATGTTACTTGTGAATATTATTCGATAAGTTGTAAAAAAAAGCAAAAAATGGGTTTTGGATTTTTGAGATGGTAAGAAAAAAGAAGACTCTCCCCGTAAACACAAACAATATCTGCAGACAGAAAGAATGAAATAAAATAAACACGCCAACACAGTTTCACTTTTTTCCATCATGGATGTCAACAAAAAAAAAAATAGTCATTTAGTCAGGTGTACCATAGGAATCATAACAAAATATCCGATCATAATTAAGTTACCTAAAGTAAATCATTTTATTAAAATATATAATATTATTTTTAATTCCACATAAGTAATTATGTGGGTTAATTTGATGTAAAATTACATGAAAATACAATACTTAATAAAGATATTCAAGAATTACCAATTTACGATATAGTGGAATACAATGGCATTAAAATATAGCCAATTAATTTGCAAATCATTGGTTGTTGTAGACCTAATATTTTAGCTACGTATGTACACAGAGATACAATCTCCACCTGAACTACCAACACTGGTCGGTTTCCCATCTCCGGCCACTGTATCCGGTAACTCCCACCGACGACGAACTCATTTTGTGTCTCCCAAACAGACTACGATCATAATCGGCTCGTTTTCCTGGATCCGACAACGTGGCATAGGCCGAATGCACCTTCATGAACTCATCCGGTGACGAATCATGGTTTCGGACATCCGGATGCAAAACCCTCGCTAATTTCCGGTACGCCGCCTTGACCTCAACCGTATCGGCTCCGATTTGAATCCCGAGCACTTCGTATAACGATGAAGAAGTGGAAATGCTTGAAGATCTGAGTGTAGATGTGGCGGTGGCTGAAATCCGAGGCGTATGAAATCTGGTGGAGGTTTGATTGAGGGGGAAATTGGGGGAAGTGAAGAAGCAGGAGGAAGATGAAAACGCCATTTTTTTCTTTATGGATGATAATGAAGAAAATTGTGTGTGTGGAGTGGTGAGAAGAATTGGATAAGGGAATGGATTAAATAGAAAGAGAGAAATAGAGGAAGGACGTTGATTCGAGGTTATCCATTCATGGCGTCCACTCGTTCATGGGCCAGGATGTGAGTCGGCGAACAGTATCAATATCAACTCACACAAATAAATAAATTCTCCAAATATCAACTCACACAAATAAATAAATTCTCCAAATATCCACTCTTTACTTTCCCATTCCACCAATATCAATTCAACACAATAAATAATTTATATTTCTTAATAGAAAATTGTATTAAAATAAAACCAACTGATTTTTATTTTGGAAAATCAATTTTTAAAATTGTCATTTAAGGGTTTTTATTAAACTTTTTGTTTATTTAAGTGTTTGATTGACCTGTTAATGCTGACATCATCCATATTTTTTACCAACTAAAATATTTCACGTTATATTAAAAAAAAAATTAAAACTAATATTCCACGTCATATTTAAAATTGTAAAATAATTATAGAAAAATAATTAAAATTCGTCTTTTTTTTCAAAAATTATTGTAATAAAATCTATTTTTCATTCAAAATCTCGTTTGTAATTAAAAAAATCAGATATCAAATTGAAGATTTTTTCAAAAATGGACTTCTTTACTCACAATTTGATATCTGAATTTTTAAAAAAAAAAACGAGATTTGGACCGAAAAATAGATATTATTACAATATTTTTTGAAAAAAAAACGAATTTTAGTTATTTTTCTATTATTATTTTGCAATTTTAAATATGACGTGGAATATTAGTTTTAAAATAAAAAGTTAATATGACGTGTAATATCTTAGTTGGCAAAAGATTTGAATGATGTCAGCATTAACATGTCAACATGTCAACTAGACGCTTAAATAAACAAAAAGTTTGATAGAGACATATAAATGACAATTTTGAAAGTTGGTTCCTAAAAATAAGAATCAGGTGAAAGTTGGTTCCATTTTGGTGCAATTTTCTCATCTATTAAAATAAATGTTTATAATAAACTTTATTTTATTAATATTGTATGTAATGGTTATTTAAAATCATTATTTGATGTAGATGTTTTTAAATTTTGTATTCGGTTCTTACAAATCCAAATATATTATGAAATGTTCTATTATTTATTTATTTTTAACATATGGTTTGTACTGTTAACATATTATACTATTAGTTAATTGTTTTAAATATATTATGAAATATTAAATTATATTAATTCTTAAACATGTCCTTTTTTGTCTTTTTTTATATTTTTCAACTAGCATGTTAGCTAGTTTTTGTCATACTTATTTAGTTCATCAACTAGCTTATCAGCCACCAGTTAGTCTTACATGTATCAACTAACTTATCAATCATCAAGTAGTTTGTCAAACATAGCTGTAGGAAACCAAACAGTTCTTTTATTTCCAATCTTATTAATTATTTAAGTTAAAAGTTGGTTACCGACAACCTTAAATTGGACCCACATTGAACTATTGTTTAATATCTCTAACCAGACACCCTAATGTTACACTCTTTAGTTTTTAATTAAAAAATGACAAATTTATCCTTAATAATAAAGAGAAAACAATTTATTCATTTCCTAATTAGGGGTAGAATGAGAAAGTAGATATTTATTTTGATATAAAACAAAATATAAATCTGGACACTTGTTTTGGGACGAATGAAGTACCAAATTTAGGTTGAGAATTTTAATATATTGTACTATTATAACTAATTTGATGATAGTGAATGGTAGTGTAAGAAGGAGTGTTAAAGTGAGAAACGTAACAGGAGTATGGACCTTTGATCTCAAACTCACCCATGAATCACACTCGATAAAGGGATTGATCTGATGCATCTCCATACATCTCATCCTAATGTGCATTCAAATGTGAAGATTGCTTCTTACTTTTGTGAGCTTCATTCTCATTTTTACTGGAACCCAACCTTTTGATCATACATTTTATATCTCTGTGAATTATCATGATGATCATTATCATTTTGATTTTAGGTTTTCTATCATCATTGGTAACAATTTTTGTACAATCAATTTTAATCTTGTAATTAGAATTTGAATACTGACTTTTACATGTCATGGTGGTGTAAACTTCAATTTGGAGTCTTTTTCGGGCTGGGCCATAATTCTTTATTAGAAAGGGCGCCTTTCTAAGAGAGAAGGACTTGGAAGAAGAAAATGAAATACGAACAACTGGACTTATGTGCTATCCAGAACTAGGGGTCTTCGACCCTGCTGTGTACAATTTATCATGTTCCATACGTATAATTCTTCTAATAATAAATGATTATTTGTACATACTAACCACCTGCTATAACCAATTAGAGTAAGAGATCAATTAATATTTGAATAAAGCATGTAATCAATGAAACCTCCATGCTTTTCAACATGTAACTAATTTGAATAAATATAAATTAAATTGATGTTGTGAAAAAGAAGAAAATGTTTGGAAAAACTTTGATTTTGGACTCTGTAAAATATATGATGGATCCTTCAGGATTTGTTACGAATAATTTTTTTCTCTGTTTCTTCTTTGAAAATATATATATTCTTTTACCTTTGGGTAAAAGTCTAAAAAAGCCTAACGGATTTTAGTGTTTGAAATGATTAAGTTATTGAACAATTTTTTGAAACAAATAAGTCTTTGGATATTCCAAAAACCTGTTAAATAATTTCTTCGACATTATAAAACATGTTGGATGTATCCTTATAACCTATAAAACATGTTAATATGGTAAAATAATGGAAAAAGTCTGGAAAAAAACCCAATGGACTTTCATATTTTGAACGATTAAGTCTCTTAACATTTTTTGAACAAAAAAAGTAAGGCTGTAAATGAACCGAACGAACACGAACAGAGGCTTGTTTATGTTCGTTGGTTTGACTTAATGGAACAAACAAACTAACACGACCGGTAAACGAACGAAAATCTTTGTATTCGTGTTCGTTCGTTTAGAAATCATGTGTGTTTGTGTTCGTTTATGTTCGTTCGTTAATATACTAAACGAACGAACATAAACGAACAGACTAAACGAACAGGCCTAAACGAACATAAACGAATAGGCTTAAACGAACCAACACCACCACAGTTTAGATGTAACAATCAAGTGGGTTTAGGCTGTTGTTTGTGTTCAAATTCAAGCCAACAGAAAGTTGGTGTTGTACGCTGCAACTTGCATACATGATTATCAACAACCAACAATGTTGTGGTATTTAAGAGCATCTGAAATAGGAACCCTTTATTTGTGTAGCAAATGACAAATAGAATAGTGCAAGCAGAACATAATTGGATACTCTATTTAGTCGGCGCCGGCTAACCACAATAGCGATGCAGGGACCTTGAAGGAAGAGTGCCAGAGTCGTTGTGCTGCACTATAATTAGAGTTACAAAAAAGGATGTTATTAGAATTTGCAGTTATTGTTGTCAAGTTATACCTAGTCCGGCAAGAGCCTTTGAAAGCATGATGTGCATACAACAAATTTGTTTATTTTTAAGATGAATAAAGTCCTTGAGTTATCTTAATATTTCTCATGAGTTACTAATTCTTATTACACATTATCAATGATTTTTCTTTAGTTCATACCTTTTTCAACAGAAATTTGAGCATTTGCAACAAATTTGATGCTAACAGATACCAGAATACAAGGGCCAGTGGAGAAGACTGTTTTTCGTCGAGTCTTCCTTATCAAAATGAAACCAGAAACAATGCCCGCCAAGAAAATAAAGAGATTTATAAAACAGAAACCATAAGACTGAATGTGTATAAAACATATATACTTTTTATGACCTTGTTAAAGGAAACCGGGAAACGAGTTAATAAGGGACGAGGAAAACGAGCATATTGAACCCCGGGAAAAATAAAACAAAAGAAACTGTACATGTTGGGGAGAACATGAGCAAAGAAATGAAGCGATTTAGGGTTCACGTTCACAGCTTTCTTCAACCCTTCACAATTTGTAGAATGTACATCTGAAGGCTACGGTTTTGGAGGCAAGGTGAAAAGGTAAAAATCTTAAATAAGAGAAAATGATGATAAAATTTAAATCTAAATAAATTCTAAAAAGTGAAAACTTAAATAAAAATTATTTGAATTCAAATTAAATAAATAAAAGATTGTATATTAAATTTAATATATAAACGAACGTAAAATGAACGGAAGTTCACGAATAATAAATGAACGAATGAGACTCTTGTTCAAGTTCATTCGTTTAACTAAACGAACAAAAAAAAATTGTTCATGTTCGTTCATTTATTAAATAAACGAACTTCCCGCCGAACGGTTCACGAATGATTCGCTGAACGTTCGGTTCGTTTACAACCTTACAAAAAAAATATTTACATCTATAAGATGAAACAAATATATCAAAAAAATATTTACGTTTACAAAAAAATAACTTACATTTAAAAAAAAATATTGATGAAATTTACTTTAATTAAAAATAAAAAATATTATGTCAATGATTTTTTAAAAAGATTGTTGATTAAATT